AAGCCCTTATTCAAGTCTTGTTCATTCTATTTTTATATTATTTCAGCCGGATTAAAATAATTTTATTTGTAATATCGAAAACTATATTAAAAACTAACCATAAACATGTATCAAATTTTCCTCGGTGAACCTAGCCCCGCTCTCTTTGGCTCTCACCATTCATTTATTCATTCATTCATTACAACCATCTCGCAACCTTTAAGCTTCGCTTTTGTTGTTCGTATGTTGCTTTGTTTGTTTGTTTGCATCACTGTAAAAAACACAACTAGTTTTATTGTGCTCTCTCTTTCTGTCTATCTCTCTTTATACCGGTTTTCCTCTATTTTTTCTTAACTTTTTTTACGTTTTCTGCTGCTTTTTACTGTGCAATTTAATTGGCAGTTTCTATTGTTGGACCCTCGAAAGTAAACATGCAAAGTCAGTTAAGCAGTTAAGCGAAGGAAAAGAAAATAAAATTGGAGAAAAGAAAAGGCTTTCGTGTCGAAATTCCATGACGTCACACGAGCCGAAAGACGTCATCAATTGATTACAGGTGGGAGTGGGCCAGTGAGTGGCGATTGGGCGGTAATTGGGTGGTGGGTGGCGGCAGAGTTGCAACTGCGTCGCAAAATAATTCAATATCCACAGAAACGAAGCGAGCAAGTGGTTAGATCATTCATAATGGCCATCGAACAAGAAAATACTGTGAACTGAATAAAAAGGGGGCGAAACAAACACAACGATCATAACTGGAGTGAATATAATACTAATATAATTAATCATAATAATGGAAATGAATTAACGTAAATGCGGGGCACAATAAAGCATTTACTGAAACTATTTTAAATTAAACTAAATAACTTGTTTATCTATTTTCCATTCAAATAACTTTTTTTTTACAAAAGTTCGTAATAATACAAATATTAAAAATATTTTTAAAAAACTGCGGGTTACTAAACTCAAAGAATTGCCTAAATATAGCTGTCTAGCCTTGGAGAAATTAAAAATATTTTTTAGTATTTTAATTTATTTTGCGTAAGTAAAAGTTCTTAATAGAAAAATGTAATACTCTCCCAAGCATGAATCATCATTGAAATGTTTATTTTTAAAAGCATAAATAAACCACTAAAGTACATAATTGCTTTTTCACAACCAAATCGAGAAAAATAGGCTTCAATTAAAACGATGAAACCCTCTTATTTTATAAAAAAAAAAATTATATTACTAGAAAGTTGTTTGAAGTTACCCCGAAAAGTATCAATTGGATCTAAGTAACTTATAGAATTAAGAAACTGCATAACTTATAAAAGCTATTTTCAATAAAAAGATTTTTAATCTAGTTTTATAGAAATTATAGGTATTTAGGTCAACACTAAAATTAAAAATTCAACTAAAGCAATTGAAGTGATTTAACAACTTCCCTTGAAATTAATAAAATAATTGTGTTGCTTTAAGCTACAAGCAAGGTTTTAAATTATAGATACAATAGTTTTTTTTTTCAATTTTGAGCACTGTTTATTTTCTATCAACTCACTAATGAAGTGTGCCCTGTATAAAATAATTTACCATTTAATAAGTGGCGACTTACAGAAACTACGACATATGTACAACTAACTATTCCCACAATTATATTGACCGCAATTGGGTTGGCACGAAAGGTCAGCGGGGTGTTGGGGGTTCTATTGAGGGCATGGTGGGTGATAAGGGGAGTGAGAACTTCTTGGCAGCGGACAAGTGTCCTTTCGTCTTTGTTGTGACGCCAAGTGCCTTTGGTTAGTGATGAGTCATGAAAGGAGGTCTCTATTGGGGTCTTGGGTTTCCCCGTTTTTTTCCTATATTCTCACCTTTGTCATTGGGATAGCTGGGATAGACGTTGAGCTGCTCGTCGTCGCGGGAAACTTGCGTGATTATTGATGTTGCATCCATTTAAGCACTCGGTTTTTGGACTCCACTTCGCTTAACAGGTTGATAAATCAGATCGCTTTTGGATAGGATAGCTGCAAAATGTTGCGCACACATGAGAGATACATATGACAATTATCGCGAGATATTTCCATGTTTTCTTTCTTATATACGTATATATGCCATATATACCACTTATATATAGCTCACACACACATGCACCAATTGATAGTCCCAGACAGTGGAATTTTACAATTACGCTTTGGCCGTCCGTTCGCTTCGTTTTATTTTTCGATGCAAATGGGTTTTCCCTTTGATATTCACCTCGCTCTTTATTGCTCTCTCTCTCTCTTTCTCTTTAGCTCTGTTGCACTTTCGCCTTTTCGATTTTTTAAGTTTAAAACTTTTAAACGTTAAAAACACTTTCTTTTCCTACGCTCTTGTTTTTGGTTGCGCTCATTCTTTTACTTCTTTATCCGCGTCTCCTTTTCGCACTCAGCTTCGCAGCGTTTTATTTATAAACGCCCACACAGACACAACGCACTCACACACACGTACGAATACGCACACACACTAGTTTGGCCCGTGTATATTTTCTTTATTTCTCGTTATTTAATTTTTCGCATTCATTTTCCCTGCTCGCATCTTGCCATTAATTAATCGCGCAAAAAAACAAAACGCGTGTGTACGTTGAAAAAAAGTAATAGGAATAGCGCAAAAAACAAAACGTGTGGATTAGTGTGACCGCAGTGGGTGCGTGACAATATGCCAATTGGGTAGGGTAATGCACCAAACTTGAGTATTTACCAGTAATATACCACATTTAATTTGGTTTTTTAAAATATGTAATACTGAAAGATTGCAGGCCTATTTATAATTTAATATGTTAAATGTTAATTTAAAGGCAACAAAAAGGAAAGTAGAAAACGTTCAATTGGATAATTTAAAACTTTCAGAATTTCATAGAGGGGCTGCCAACTGTTTACAAATGTGATAAATGTAATAAAAAAGCAGGATTAAAAAATAACCTTCAAGCGCTTCATAGCAATTTAAAAAAAAACGGTCTATTTAATTTAATTAAAATTTGTCGAAATTAAGAGCTGCCACTATATAAGCACAAATTTTGAAATAAACATAATTTTATTACTTGATACATAAGTTATAGAATTTTAAAATATTTTGAATTCAGTTTTTTAACTAATAGAATTAATTATTAATCACTTGATTTTTAAAATAAAAATAAAGTTCAGCAGTATATTAGCCCATAATAATTGTACACATCTGGCAACGCTCTGCCTGATTGTTGTTACGCGAGCGATTTTTGTGGTTTTTATTTCTATTTAAATTAATCAAAGAAATTGACTAGAATGTTGGCTCTACGCAGCGCCCAGAGGTTGGGCTTACGGTAGGATAAAAGTCTAAACATATAAAACAATTACGAATCACTCACCTAATCGCTTTTCTTTCTCTCCCGCTGCAGCTCCATCCTGCCGGCTGCCTACAAAAACGTGGGATTGGTCAGCTACTCCTCCTCGCAGTCGAAAAACGACGATGGATACTCCTCCTCAGACGATGAGAAGCCGAAGAAAAAGAAGGATAAGCCCGTGAAGAAGAGTGATGAGCCTGCGGAGACTGCGGCTCAGCGTTTGAACCGCTTACTGGGCACCATGCAGGCCACAGATCAGCTATCCGCATCCGATTTTCCTCGTCCTGGCGATGAGAACCGGAGACGTAGGGAGGTCCAAAAGCAGGAGATCGCTTCCAAGAATGTCCTGACCGCGGCAAAGAACATTGCCAGCATGCTGGGCACCAGTGAGAGCGACAAGAAGCAGACGGAGTCTGAGCTGCTTGCCAAACTGCTGGGTCATGGCAGTGAATCCGCGCCAGCAGCGGCAGGAGAGGGTCAGACGACAGCTCCTGCTGGCGATAAGGAACTCAATCTGAGGTGAACACAAATTTAACAAATTTAATCTGGCTTTAAATTAAAGTTATCTGGGGTGGCGATGAATGCTCTTTAGTTACTGATCTTTCATCTGTTCTCTTTTATTTCCTATTGTACCCACTTGTTGTTGGGATGATTTATAACCAGTGTTTTATCAAATTTATCTTCACTTAAGCAAAAGTATGGCGTTTGGATCGCTTAAACAGCTAGGCTAGTTTCGCCATAGAATTATTGTTGTTTATCATTAAGAGGATTGAATCAAGTTAAAAACGTTCAGAGATTAAGAATAATATTTTTTAAGGCGAAACACCTTTTGATTTAATAACCCTAATTAGTGAAATATTGTAAATCAATTTTTAAAGTTCTTGGGTTTTTTGAGATAAATAAAATTTAGGCTTAAGTAAAAATTTTACTGTGTGACCCAGATTAAGTTAGTTAAGTTTGAATTAGGTGACACCAAATTTGTTTTCCGACCAGTTTTTCTCAAAAAAACCTTATAACCTTATTGATGACCATTATTTTTCGATCTTCTACAGCGAACTGATTGTAGGCATGAAGATCGATCGTCGCCAGCAGCCGCCGCAGGTTGAGCAGACTCGCGGGGAGTATGTGCGTCGCTCGTTGGCTTCCAGAGCCAAGTCACAGGGCAGGGATGGTTACCATCAGCGGCCACAGAGGCAAGTCAAACGGGAGGCTGAATCCTTTACAGGCAGCGTTAATCTCTACGGCGGAGAACCGCTGGGTATCTTCAAGGATACCCAGCTGCCGAACTCCACCGACATCCTTTCCACTTGGTCGCAGCTAAGCGAGCGAGAGCTGAGCCTTCAGGCCGCCCATCCGCCGGCGAACTACTTTGAACAGATGGTCCTGTGGACAGATGAGAGCAAAGTCTGGCGCTTCCCCATTAACAACGAGCAGGATTGGGCAGACGAGGTGAACGTAGACTTCTCGGAGCACATCTTCCTCGAACAGCATTTGGAGGAGTGGTGTCCCAACAAGGGCCCCGTCCGTCACTTCATGGAGCTTGTCTGCGTCGGCCTGTCTAAGAACCCCTACGTGACCGCCCAGGAGAAGAAGGATCACATCCTGTGGTTCCGCGACTATTTCGAGGCCAAGAAGGACATACTCAGGGACCTGATTAGCAAGGAGCCGGGCAAAAGTATTTCCGCTTAATGTCTTTGTTTGAATATTTGTTAAAAATATATTTTTGCTTTATAAGACCATCGATATATAGTTATATATATGATATTGTGTAGATATATTGTGTGTGTATAAGAATGTGAGTCCGTTAAATATCCTAATACTTCGAAGGCTGTGCAGGCTGTGCGCGGAATGTGTGAGCCGGAAAGGGGCTTCAGAAGAGCAGGATGCGTTTCTCCACCGTCTTGCGGCAGATGGGACAGCCTTCGATCTGGTCGCCGCACATCTGGCACGTGCCGTGGCCACATAGGAAGACCATGTTCTTGATCCGATCGAAGCAGACAGGGCACATGGTCTGGTAATAGAAATATTCATATTTAGTCAGATAAAATAGCATTTGTGTCCTTAAAAAAGGCAAATATAGGTATATATAGTAAGTTAACTATAAGGAAACGGTGCTTAAATTGAATGTATCGCTTCATAAAATAATTTTTTGGCACCCACCTGCTCTTTAATGTCCTGCAACTGCTGCTTCAACTTCTGCACATCGTCCATTTGGAAGTTGTTGACATTGGATGGTGCCACCATCACACTTCCAGCTGCTGTCAGATTCGAGACATTTGAAGAGGCTGCTGCAGCGGCCAGCAAATTGTTCTGGCTATTTAATTGATTGCTGCTGCCCGCAACTGGCGTCACCACAGTGTTGTTCATGGCCACACTGTGTCCGGATGCATTGGCACAGGCTGCTGCCGCTGCTGCTGCCTCCATGAACCGATCCTCGGGAATTGGCAATCCCACGGGAGCCACTCCTCCGGATGCCACAGTGACCTTTTCCGGCCGACCGATTCCTCCGCAGCAGAGACTGAATGACAGGATCTCATCGATTTGGGTACGGCAGAGAACGCACTTCTTCATCAGAGCACTGCAGTGCTCACATGCAACCATGTGACCGCAAGGCCGGAAGAAAACAGCTGCCCTGCGATCCGAGCAAACCAGACACTCGTCGATCTTCTCGCGCGAAGATACGGTCTCCCGGCAGATGAGGCATTTCTTTACCCTCGGAGCGCAGGTCTCGCAGCAACTGACATGGCCACAGGGCTTAAACACCGTATCCCGCTTGGCATCCGAGCATACCAGACACTCATCCAGACTGGCTGTCGATTTCGGGGGATCCTCGTGCAGAGACTGGCTCATTTCGTTGGCGATACCATTAAGCGCTAATATGGCGGATGAGGAGGCGGTGGGGAAGGTGGATGAGGCAGCCATGCTGGTCAGCGGCAAACTGGCTGACGAGGACTGATTCAGAGTACCACTGGCTGCTCTTGCCCTGGCATTTGAGCTTGTGCCAGCCACATTACCGGGCAATTCGGAGTCGTCGGTTTTCCTTTCATTGTAGCACTTGACCAGCGTCTTGCACAGATTGGGATCCGGGCACAGATCTAGTGGCGTCTGCTGCTTACGGTTCTTTAAAGTCAAATCGGCTCCATTGGCAGCCAAGAAGCAGGCAATCGAAGCGGAGGCCTTTTTGTTATTGGCATTCCTCAGACCCATTAAAAGCTTTCCGAATCCCTCCACATCCTGAAGCTGCTTGAGCTGCGAAAGAGTATGATGTCTAAGGGCTTCGTGCAGCGGAGTATCTCCATCCTTATCCGGTATGTTTAGATCAGCGCCATCCTGCACCAATAGCTTGACAATCTGGACGTGTTGACGCTCCACCGCAAGATGAAGAGCCGTCTGGAGATTCACATTTTGCCTGTCCATGTTAGCCTTACCCATATGCACGAGAAGTTCGGCGATCTCAACGTGATTGTTGAGTGCTGCCAAGTGCAGAGCCGTGTAGCCATCGTCCTTCTTTTCCTCAACGATCCAAGGACGGTTTGTTTTGGTCAGCAGGATCTTCATGGCGCTGGGATTACCCTTGAGAGCAGCGTGATGCAACGCGTTGAAGCCATTGTTGTTGTTAAGCGTTATGTCAGCCCCGAAGTCAAGCAGCAGGGAGAGCATCTCGTCGTGCTCCTTGGAGATGGCATCGTGGAGAGGTGTATCGCCCTCGGAATCCTGCAAACTGGGATGGCAACCAAGCGTGAGCAGCGTCTTCACCACGTTTAAATGACCCTTATTCACGGCAATGTGCAGAGACGTTTGCCTTCGCTTATTGCGGGCATTCAAATCTGCACCAGCTTTGGCCAAAATCTCGATAACCGCCGCCTCGTCCCCGAAGGCGGCATGGTGGACAGCGCGATCTCCGTCCTTGTCCTCAATCTCCACGTCAACGGCGTGGCGCAGTAGCACCTGGATCACCTCGATATGGCCATTTTGGCTGGCTGCCTGGAGAGCCGTATGTCCGGCAAATACTCCATTCACATTCACATCCGGCCCAGAACTGGGCGAAGCACTGGACGTGGAAGGTTGAGCTGCTCCGGCCAAGTACTCCTCGCAACGAGCCTAAAACGCGAAGACATTTGTTTTATTTATAATCATTTAAATTTAGATTGAACCTTTTACTCACCGCAAATCCATTGGCTGCTGCCTTGACGAACTCCTCGGTGGCATCCCCGGAGACATTCGGTTCGAACAGCTTCTTGAGAATGGCCGAGAGCCGTTCGCCACTGGGAATCACCGGCGCACAGCCCCCGTCAGAGGCCGTCGATGAGGCCACTTTGCAAACAGCCAGGGGATTGTAGGTCCACGACGTGTTGCCCACCTCCACCTTGAGGTCGTTATCATGGTAGACCTGTTGCACACGTCCGATCTTGCCCAGCGTCAGCTGCATGGCATCAGCCCACTCGCCATGGCCACGCTGCAGATTCTTAATGCTCTCCACATCCGAACAAATCTTGACTATGTCGCCCACCTGGAACTCCGGTGGTGCGGTGGTGGGCGAAGATACTTTAGTGAGGACAGCAGGGTTAAAGGTCCAGCGATTGCCGGAATTGTATGCCACCACAATGTCGTGATCCTCATCGATGCCCACAACCATTCCCGCGTTGCTCAGGCACTCAAACATGCCATCGGTCCAGCCGCCATGGCCATGCTGAAGAGATTGAACGATTTCCAGGTCCAGATCCACTGTGACCTTGTCGCCGATCTGGAAGCCATGCGGTCCCTTGCCTGGTCCGTTTTCGCCTAGGAGTGGCAGGTGATCCCGGTAAACATTACTACCTTTGGCGTCGTTTACCACCTTGAGATCCGCCATTCCCTCGAAGCCCACACGATACAGATTCTTGGAGCCATTGTCCCAGATTACATAGGCAGCGGATCTTGGCGAGGCCGAGGACCAGTCCTGGATTTCGTTGACCTTGCCGCGCCGACCAACTCCGCCGTCTTGGTCTTCCCACTGCCAATCCACGCCGCGAACCACACGGGCTCCCGGAAAAATGCCTCTGGCTAGCACTTTCTTTGACTTCCGACGCGGTTCCAGCATGGTTCGCTCTCCACCTGGGGTGGTGATCCTGTAGAAACGATGTCTCAGGTGATGCTTATCTCCGTGGTAGCAGATGGAACACAGATCGTAGTTGATGCACTCGGCACACTTCCAGCGGATACCGAAGATCGGTTGTTGGCGGCAAGTGTCGCACATGGTGCCTTCGTGTTTCACGCCAGTGGGTGCACTGTCCAGGATGCGAAGATCATACGCTCCGGCGCAGCGATAGTTGGCAGCAGTGCCATTGTCCCAGACCACCACTACCTCCTCGGCGGACTCGAAATTGCGCACGGTTCCCACGTGTCCTTCGCCGCCATCCTGTAAAAAAAGGATGAGAAAAATATTGCATTAGTGGGTCAATCTTCCGATTTTTCATTGCGTAAGCTAAAACCCACGCTGATTAAGATGCGAAAGTTGTAGCTAAAGTGCATAATAGCAACTAACAAAGTGTTAAGGTAGGCAATCGCTACAAATTCATTTGGTTATCTCTCTAAGGGATCAACGAGTCGGGAAATAACATTAACAAAGCTTAAGGGAACGAAGGTTCGCATACAAAATTAAAATTATTAATTTTTTCAGGAATACAGTAAATATTGGCTGACACCCACTTAATAAGTTAAGTTTTTAAATTACAGGGTCAAATTCTATAAAAAATAGCATCTTAAGGCAGGCTTGCACCTTGTTGGCGCCCAAAACCTGATTTTTTTCTGGAATTTATTTCTTGGAAAGTATGGTAGGTGTGGGAATAAAATTTTAGCCAGTTGAAGGGTACAGTTTATTGAAGCTACACAATTTTTTTGAGTGCGATCCAAGCGAAGGGGGGAGGGGGAGTACCGAACAATGGTGGCATGTCCGCGAAAAACTCGTCCTCATGGCGGATTTTTTGGAATATTAAGAAATAATCTGAAACGCAAAAAACGAATATATTCTTAATCTGTACACTTGCTCGCATGGCTTGAACTAGGATAATTAAAAAAACATAAAAAATGCAAAAATTATGAGCTTTTGAAAAAAAAATCGGTTTTTTCCTCATTTTTTCGTTACTTATTATTTTTTTAAATAAACAATTTTTAATATTTTTAAAAGATCCTAGTCTATACCATGCACATACTTCTGAGGAACATGTATAAAAAATTTCATGACGATTGCTCAATTTTTGCGGCTTGTACGACTTCCGCCAACTCGGAAAACATGGTTTCGAGAAAAACGCGTTTGAAAATTTTCACTATAATGGCAACGCGCTTGACACCGGTCCACCAAACGGCCGATAACTTTCGTAATTCAAGAGATTTCGACTTGAAATTTTAGGAGAGTAAAATTAAAACATGTATGTATCCGAAACTGCAAAAAAAAAATTTTGATTTTTTTGACTTCACAAGGTACAAGCCTGCCTTAAGAAATCTAAAAGTAATAAATAAAACTATTTTGGAAATGATATGCACAAGAATTAGTCATATGTGTGTACCAGGCGAATGAATAGACGTTGTTGGCTTGAGTATTTGATTACATTTTATGATTCATGTATGACACTTATTCTTTACTAAACCAATTAAAATACATATTTTTGGCACGTTTTTGCGGAAATAACTTTATCTTGATTTAGTTTTTATATTTTTTAAATAGTTTTTCCGGATATTAGCGAACACTCTTTGAAGCCATGACCCACATGCATTTTGTCAATTAAAGCAAATTCGAACTTGTTGAAAATATATTTTAACATATATGTTAACAAATTAAAAATAATTTACTTTTGAGATATTACAAAAATATTTTAGCTTCTTTGTTTTTTAAAATTTTTGGACCACAAATACATATAAACATAAAAGAACAACTAAATTTAAAAGCAAACAAATTTGTATCTTTAAATTCAAATAAACTTCTTTAAGTTATTAATTTTACAAAATTTATAATTAATTTTTTTAATTTAAAGGAAAATATTTAAAATATAACTATAAGATTTCTTATTAAACACCTTAAATTTAAAAAAAATATATAAGTTAAATGATTTAAAAGATGTATTGTACTTTAGTCTCATTTTAAATGTAATGAATGCAATTTATTTGTGAATATCAAAAAACTCTTAAATTTAATTTGGTCAGTGTATCGAAAGGGGACTAAATGTATGTACATATGTATGTATGAAAGTATACACACTTTCTAGGATCATTCAAGTCCATCGCAATTCTGGAGAAAACGCGAAAAGAGAAACTTGACTAGTTTGGCAAGATGTCTAGAATGGACTCTCGGCGGTGTGCAATTAAAGCAAATTGATCGGTCAATTGAGAAGGGGAGAGTTTTTCACTGAAACCAGAACCAGAAGACTTGACCCTCCTCACCTGTTTGTTCCACTTCCAGTCTGGTCCGCGGATCACCCTTGCGCCCACGCCCTCCATGGAAAATCGTCGGACGACGGCGGCCGCTGAGCTCGTTGCCACGCCCCCTGCCCCTGTTGAGGAGGAGGTGGTGCCACCCGGACCTCCGCCACCTGCAATTGATGACCCACCCCCGCCCCCCGTTGCACTGCTCACTACTACACCCACAGCCGTAGTGTTGGTGTTGCTATTGCTGTTGGTGTTCGTTGGTGCTCCACTGGCATTTGCCGCGTTTGTCGAGTCCTTGGCCGTCGATAAGGTGGCCGCACACGACATTTTACCACTCCGCAAGGTCCTTCGGCGGGTGGACACACTTTTTCACGGTTTATTCCACTATTTCGTTGTGGTCTTCGCGTTGAAAATCGAAACAGCAGAGCCACGGAATTTTACAACCTGCTATGTGACCGTTCCTGCGCAAACGATAGATTCCATACGATTTTTTAGATTAAAGGTGAAACCAAAATATTTAAACTCTGGTCACTCTTGTCCGCACAATGGGCCGATGTGCCTTGAATCAGTAACAGAAAATTGTTAAACAAAATAAATTCTAGGAAATAATATAAAAATATTAAACCAATACGAGGGTTGCTATATATTGCAATTAAAATTTGAATAAACATATATATAAAATATATTAAATCAAACCAACAGAAAAAACTTGACCGTAGCTGTGAATATATTATATTTTGTTTTATTATTACTTTATAATTTAAAATAATAATAAAGTTATTATCTGAATACATTTTTTTATATTATAAAAAGTCTCAAATAGTAAAAACCAAGTACCTATAAACGCAAATAAAACAATTTTATTAATTTATACATGAGTAAAGTAAGGGTTTGTCCGACATATTTAAGTTTTAAGGTACTGCTCAGGATCGGTGAGAAATGCTTCCAGGAAAGCAATTCCTTTTGGTAGATACTGAATGTTTTCGTTGAAGAGATGTAGTTCTGGGCGCAAAATGTCTCTGAAGGAAACCTCCTTGATATTGATAATTTCCACTAGGAAGCTGGTTTTCTCGAGGCGAACAATTGGATCGTCTTCTATACATTTTCGCACGGTCTTCCTTACAACAGTGCGATTCGCATCCCTGGAAAGAAAGGTTTATATAATGTTTTCGTTCAATAAATTTAATTTTTCTCTGGACTTGGGTTTGAATGTCTTAAAGAGAGCGCTAATATTTAAATTTAAAAAATTAATAATTTAGCGTTTTACTCATTTCAATATAAAGAGATCTACCTTATGGAGTCTATAATAATATATTTCATTTCCAATTATGTTTTGAAAAATTGGTTGAACTTCAAGTTTTCTAAAAAGCACTTACCGTTGGAGCCTCGCCTTTTTCTCCGTCAGAACGGTCATCAATTCGTGGAACATTCGCTTAATCTCTACAACACTCTGATCAATGCGAAGAAGAAACTTCAAAAAAGCTGGCTCGTCGCTGCCTTCGATAGCGTCGGTGAGATTCAGGGGTAGCTTGAGACTAAGTTGGAAGTCCAGGAAGTAGTCACTCGCTGACCATCGTTCCTTTGAAGTGGGCACCGCATTATCCACTTCAATTGAGCATACTTGGATGGCTGACTCCTCCACCAAGTCCAAGGTTTTGTAATTAACCACAATTCGAAACGTGGTTAGCAGCCGATGGTAAAATATGAATTGCTGGGAGACCTTGCGCTGAAAGTCGAAGATCCAGTTTGGCTGTTGCTCGGCCAGCAAACTTTTGAGGTGGCCAAAAAAGGACTTGGCAGGTTTGATTGTAGCCTTTTGTTGACCGTTTAGTCTAATTAAAAAGCAGATAAGTTTTATAAATATTTTAAAACTTAAAATAATTTCAATATCAAGTTCTTACCTCTTGCATTGTTCTAGGAGCGCCGCTTTGTTCCACGCTATCAGCTCCTCTTCTACTCTCGTCTGATCCACCGAATCGTCGATGTCCTGGCACCTGGACAGCCGGGCCTGCTCCTCGATCTCCCAGTACAGCTTAACCTCCTTCCAAGTTGGTTTATTCCTTAAAAGACGCAGTCGCTTCCGTTCCCTTGAAAATTCCCACTCGGTCTGATGTGGCAGGAAAAAGGAATCTGTGATGAGCTTAGTTTCGCTCAAGGACTGATTGCAGTTGCCGCACTTCTTGCATGAGCCGCTGCTGCCGGCTATAACCACTGCATCTGTCTGCCCCTCGCAGAGTTCTGGCTGTGGTTGCGGCTCCTCTTGATCCTCTTCCTCGACATCGTCGTCCGTTTCCTCGGCCAGCGTGGAAACCAAACTGAGCCTCTCGTTGTCTATCTGATTGTGTTGGCCCTTCTCCTCTTTATTCAAATCTTCCATGCCTGCGAAGATGGTGGTGTCGCCAGTGAGATTGATGAACTTTGTATTCGTTGCGGCAAAGCTCTTAAAGGTTCTATCGTTGGAGCTGCCACTCTTCCTTTCGTTGGACTTGCGCTGCTCCTGGAAGTAATTGGTCACATCCGAGATGGTTATGGGCTTATCCTCAAGCTCTGTGACAAACACTGATTTCCGTGGCAACTCCAGTATATTTAGAGAGCTCTTTTTATTTAACTCAGTCATTGCAGGGTGATAATCCCTCACTGGTTGAACCGACGCGTCCAACTGATATTCCGCAAAGGTCCTGAGGGATTTATCTGCGCCTGGTTCCAGTTTAATTTTTGTCATCGGCATCTCCCAAGCATTTTCCTGGTCCTCTTCCATTTCCATATCCATGTTGCTGTCCACGATGATCTTTGTGTGTTGCTTTTTGGACTCTGGAAGATTGGGTGTGAGATGTGAGGACAAGCGCTTCATCTGGGTGTGACTTTTCGGAGTTCCACTCCCTGTCGCGTCCGCCTCTAAATCCATCTTCTCTGGCTGGTACATGGAAAACTGTTTTCTCTGAGGTTGCATACGTTGTTTTTCGTGAATAGGGGTTTTGCACATCATTTCCTGATCCTCGAATTCAGTCAAGGACATTCCAGGCGTGTAAGTAGACAATTGTTTGATTCTAGATGCTGTTCTCGTATTGGGCAATGGAGTGATTTCTTTAAAGTCGGCATCCTTCATCGTGTTTTTGGGACTTTGGAGGTCCAGTGATTCAGACATAACTATGGTTTGATGAGGCCTGTAAGTGGAAGCAACCTCTCTCTCTTCCTTTTGCTCGGATTTTTTAAAAATATAATCCTTAAGTGTTCGCAAAACTCCTTTTGGTTTTTCTAACTTTTCGGAAACCTGCTCCACAGTTGTAGGGTTACTTAATGTGTCAGTTTCCTCATCCTCTTCCATGGGCTCTGATAAAAGCAAAGTGTGCCTTCTAAAGGATGGAGCTGATGAAGCCGGAATATTTTTTGGGTGAGCAGGTGCCACGGGCAAGTCTTCTTCGATGGGTTGTGCGCTGGCAAGGGTTGCTCTTGATTTCCGCGATATCTCTGCTTCCTTCGGTTCCACATCCTCGTCAATGAGCTCCGATAAAACCATTGTATTCCTAGATTTATTTTTGGATTTTTCGGTAGGTAGTGGAACTACCTCCTTTTCAATATTTCTGGACTTAGTTTTGGATTCCTCATGGTGATGATATGTGATATCATCTTCCTCAATGGGCTCCTGAACAACCAAAGTGTGTCTTGTTTTGGAAGTCGTATATCGAGAAGAGTGGAATAAGTTGTTGGGTTCGAAATGTGCTTCACTGTTATGATTGTTTGTGGATTTATTATAGACACTGGGATCTTCTTCAATTGGTTCTGCCATAATAAGCGTATGTCTGGCTTTAAATTTTAGCGGTCGTGCTGAAATATCCTCTGTTCCGGCTCCAAAATCCTCCTGAATGGGCTCATGTGTTAGTAGAGTGTTTCTTGGCTTCTGTTGTTGGTGGGGGCCGTTGAAATGATTTATTGGTTTAATGCGTTCCGCATCTGCTTCTACAGGCTCCGCCAATTGAAAAGTATCTCCCGATTTGGTAAATCGATGTCCAGATTTTTGGTTAGTACTGGAAGATATTTCTTTTTCAATAGGTTCTTCAAATTGCTGAATAAATCTGGGTTTAAACGAAGGCTGTTGCTTTTGATTTTCCATTCGATTGAATAACTCCAAATCCTCTTCGATTGGTTCTGCATTAAGAAGAGTTTGGCGGGTAGATTTTGCTTCTACATTAATTGGTTCCTCAACCAGCTGAGTGTTTCTATTTTTAAGCCGAGAATGTTGCGTAAGCTTATTATGAACTTCCGAATCTTCCTCAATGGGCTCTGCCAAAAGCAGAGTTTGGCGAGATTTGGATGGTTGGCCCCAGCTTTTAATTGCAGCTTCCTCCTTGGATTCTTCCATAAAATCAATACGTTTTCTTGTTTGATTATTATAGTAAGCTGTTGACTTTTGCTCATCCTCATCTTCCTCAATGGGTTCTGCCATAAGGAGAGTTTGGCGAGATTTGGATTGTTGGCCCCTGCTTATAGTCGCGGAACGCTCAATGGACTCTTCTACAAAATCAATACGTTTTCTTGATTGATCATTATGGTAAGCTATTGACTTATGCTCATCCTCATCTTCCTCAATGGGCTCTGCCATAAGAAGAGTTTGCCGAGATTTGGATGGTTGGCCCCTACTATTAATGGACTTTTCCGCAACATCATTATGTTTTCTTGATTGATCATTATGGTAAGCTATTGATTTTTGCTCCCCCACATCTTCCTCTATGGGCTCTGCCATATGAAGAGTTTGGCGAGATTTGGATGGTTGGCCCCAGCTTTTAATTGCAGCTTGCTCCTTGGATTCTTCCATAAAATCAATACGTTTTCTTGTTTGATTATTACAGTAAGCTGTTGACTTTTGCTCATCCTCATCTTCCTCAATGGGCTCTGCCATAAGAAGAGTTTGGCGAGTTTTAAATGGTTGGCCCCTACTATTAATGGGCTTTTCCGCAACATCATTACGTTTTCTTGATTGATCATTATGGTAAGCTATTGATTTTTGCTTCCCCTCATCTTCCTCTATGGGCTCTGCCATAAGGAGAGTTTGACGAGATTTGGATGGTTGGCCAACGTTTTTAATTGGCGCTTGCACAGTCGAGTCTTCCATAAATTCAATACGTTTTCTTGAGTGCGAATCCTGGTAAACTATTGACTTTTCCACCCCCATATCTTCCTCTATGGGCTCTGCTATAAAGATAGTTTGGCGAGATTTGGACGGTTGGCCAACGTTTTCAAAAGTCCTTTCCTGAATAGATTCTTCCATAAACTCTGTCTGTCTTGACTTCGAATGAGACTGGTAGTTTTTGCTATTAATAGTCTTATGCACCTCTTCTTCAATGGGTTCTGACATCATAAGAGTGGGTCTCGATTTCGAGGACTTATTGGTTGTGGCACTTTTAGACACTTCTTCGATAAGCTGCTCCTTATTTTGATCCAAAGGTCTCACCTCCCACACATCTTCGTCTATTGGTTCTGACATTAAAAGAGTGTGTCTCGATTTTGAAGTTGAAGAACCCGTCTCGTTAGTTTGCATGTTGAACGATTTAAGCCCTGGCTGTCCAACATCTTCTTCAATGGGTTCCGACATGATGAGCGTCTGTCTTGGCTTGAATCTGTGCTGTCCATATGCATTATCCTCCTTTCCGGCCGCCAATTCATCATCAATTGGCTCATGCATAAGAAGAGTGTTTCTCGATTTCAAGCGAGACTTTTGTTGGCGTTGCTCCGTGGGATGATGTTCGGCAAATGTTTCTTCAATTGGCTCAGACATAAGTAATGTGGCCATAGCCTTCTGACGCTGCGGAACAGTTGATCTATCAATAGTTTTGTGCCTTAATATTGATTTATTCTTGGGCAGTGAAGGACACCCCTCCTCCTCTATTGCTTCCGAAATAGTAACTTGCCTGGATTTTAAGCTGGGATGGTCAATCCGTTCAGCGTGCGCCTCCTCTTCTATGGGTACGCCTAAAAGAAGCGTATGTCTTGACTTAATATTTTTGACCTGAACTTGTGAATCTGCTATAGTACAGCCCGTGTCCTCTTCCATGGGTTCCTCTAACAGAAGAGTCTGTCTGGGTTTGGATTTGTTTCCTTGATGCGTAAAAATGTTGTTAGGTAAATTCTTGCCTGGGTTTATTTTGTCCTCCTCCAGATCTTCTGCAAAATGAAGAGATTTTCTTTTCGAATCAAAAAGTTGTCCCTCTTTTATATTACTGCCCATTTCCTCATCCATTGGCACTCCCAAAAGCAAAGTAACCCTGACGTTGGATTTTTTTTCTTGGGGCGGACAGATTTTTGGAGGTAACGTTTTGCTTGGGTTCACTTCTTCCTCTTCCACAGGTTCAGCTAAATGCAAAGTTCTTCTTTTAGAATTAAAAACAGGCGGATTCCTTATATCAATTTCCATTTCCTCTTCCATTGGTTCCTCCAATAACAGGGTTTGCCTTGGTTTGGATTTTTCTTTAGGAGCAACGACTTGCAAAGGTAGCATGTTACTACGGTTTTCGTTCTCCTCTTCCACAGGTTCTGCTAAGTAGAGAGTGTGGTTGCCTTTGGATTGACTCTTTTCTACAGGAGCAGCGGCTGGCTTTAAGTGCAGATCCTTTAAAGGACTTATGATGTCCTCTTCCATGCTTTCCTGCATCAGAAGAGTCTCCCTGCGCTTTGTCTTAGTGCAGGCCCAAACTTTGCCTTGCTGATTCGTATTTCGCTCGTTATTGGTGGATTTCTCATAGAAAATCTTTTCTGTTGTTACCGCAACCTCACTTCTGACGTGCATAGATTTCGTGGCTTCCTGATCCATGGATTCATTAAGATGCAAGGTTCGACGAATAGGGATACCAGGAAAATCAGACTGATCCTGCTGCAGTTCCTTAGTCACATTAATAGCCTTTTGAGGCATAGAGCTTGATATGGGATGAAAGTCCTGACTGCTTGTGGGATACTCTAAATTCAATTCGGAATTGTCGTAAGTGGTCTCCCTTCTCGTAGAGTTTTTGGAAGTATTTCTGGACTGCGTCTCATCGCCTAATCTTGCATGAGCCAGGAAGTTTGTGTTGTCCAACATCATCTCATCCGCCTGGGATAACCGATACTTTCGCTTGTCGTCCACCGCATTCAGCTTCTCCTTTTCCTTTCGAACTGGACTTAATTGCGCCGGCGACATGGTCATATTTTCACTGAAATTTAACGTTCCTCGCGGTTTGATGCTCCTTATGTCCTTCTTTGGACTGCAACTCTCCGTGGCTTCCGATTGCAGTCCATGCCAAAAACGATTTTGATTGGTCTTGCGATCTGTGGTTGGTGTTTTTGGACCATTGGGAAACAGTTGAATCTTTCCCGCCTCTAGCTCATCGTTAAGTTGACGAAAATTTATCTTCTTGCTTATGTTTTTGCCCACAATCATGTCGAATGGTATCAACATGGACTCATCTTTCATATACTTTATGGTGCTGTTGTTGCTGTCAAAGGAGCATGATGGTAAAGGATCCCGGTCCTCGGAAACTGGAAAATAAAGTGGCATATGTTAATTACAAGTTTATATCTTGCCTATTACAAATATTGAAAGGAAAGTCAAATTAATTATTCATCCACAATTTTTTTTTTACCTAAACTGTAAGTCAAACTTATTTATATTAGTCATTAGTTGTTTATTTTTGAAAACCAATCCAAAGCTATTAGCTTAAAAAATGTAAATTCCCTAATAAATGTACGATCTATCAAACTAATTATATTGGAATAAAATTTAAATTATACAAAACTTACCATTTAAAGGGCAGTCGAAGGATACGTCTACGGCGCAGTGTTGGGTTTTATTATTTTTATCCACAACCGTTTCCTCTAAATCCATAAAAAGTGATTTTTGGACTGGAGTCTTCTTCTCCTTTTCGTTAAACTCGCGCATTTCCCTATCCATGCTGTCGTCCTCGAGTTCCATAAAACTCTGCTGGGTTGGAACTTGAGGAGCTGCAGGAGTGGGAGCAAGAGCAGATGCTGCTGGAACAGGATCAGGTGGACCTGGAGCTGAGGTGGGCGCTGCTGAAGGAGGAGCGCGGAATCCCACTGGCGTGATGTCCATGAAGAAGTCCATTATTCCCTTTGCTGCTGGTGTATTTCCTTTTTTTTCTCTTTCAATGTCTGGCTGTTCAATAGAGGAATCTTCAATATTGCTGGGTTGCGTTTGGGTCCTGGTTATCAAAGAACCCGACATCAGATCCATAGTCTTGTCCATTACCCGATGATCGTAGAGACTATTTTGAAACACTTTGCGTTCCTCGGTGGACAGGCAGATGGAAACCATGGAGGAGGAAGCCTTCCTCTGGTTTTGCATCAGCTCGCAGGGCAACATAGTGACATCCACGCTGGTCTGGAAATTTAGGGTCAGGTCGACCTGTTCCCGTTCGCAGAGGCCGCGCAGAGGAACGTTCTCCTTGTCCGCATCCTCTGGTTTCTGCGATCCTGGTTTCGATCCTGATCCCGTACCCAAGGATCCTGACCTGGATCCCGTGCTGTCCTCGGCATTGTGTTCGGATACCTCATACGAGTCGTCCCAATGGTTGGTCTCCTTGGTGTTAACAAACTCTCTACAAGGAGGGTGGATATGGGTATATTATGCATATTGTGGCTGGATTCCCATACTGTACTTACCTCACGGACTTTTTGCCACTGAAACTGATGCGTCGCTTGATTTGTTGTTGTTTGGTCATTGTCGTTGTTATTGTCGTTTCATCTTCTTTCGGCGGCGCCTTGCGCAACTGCAAAATAGTGAAATAAATCTCTTTAGTTTGTATATTTAATTAGTTTATTTGGAAACACCCACGGAACTCCTGCGTTTGTTTGCATTCATCGCGCTGTTAAAATTGTTTTTAGTTTAAAATCTCATTGGACAGACGCCGCCAGTTTTGTGGGAATGGCAAAACAGAGATGCCAACTCGGTGGCGTAACACAATAAAGAAATACTAAAAAAATTTCAAAACAAAATTCAAATTTTCAAAAACAGCTACGTTAATTATAAATATTTGCATTAAGAAAATTTACATTTTTCTGACAAACAATTCTTTTTAGGGTATATATTTAAAATATATAACCGAAAAAAGTACTTCACCAATTTTAAGTAAGACACTAAGGCCTAAACGGTCGGGTCGGATAAAATAAATCTGTTGCAATTTGAATTTATACCTTTATTAAAGTGTAAACAAATTGAACTTATTTAACATTTAAAAAAGTTACAGGTAATTTATTACGAGCAATTTTATGAAGATTAAGAAAAATAGTTACTAGTTGTATAAGTATTTTAAATAACAATTTTTGAAAAAATGAATTCAGTACTATTATTATTGTTATAAATTTAATTAATGTTTTTACAAAGTGTGCAAGTGCTAATTGGGCTTAAAGCATTTCGAACTTACTAATATTGTTTCTAAAGTCCAGACTATAAGCTCATAAAATTTTAAAACCACTTGCTTAGATTGGGTTTGGCATTACTTTTCCACGTAGTGGACTTACATACATGTAATGGAAAAAACAAGGTTTGCATTTCACAAATACCGTTAATTTTATTAACCATTAAATCCAAAATTAAATCACAAGTTCTGAAACTATTAAGAAAGAAAAGCCAGGACAACACTAGGCTTTGAAGTTGTCCTTCTCCTTGCGTAGCTTGCCCATGGTGACGATGGGATCGGTGGCTCCTCCGGCGTGTTTCTGCACGGTGGCCTCGTGGACGCGCATGAACGGATTCCAGGACTTCTCCTCGCCAATGGTCGAAGGAACAGTGGGATCCTGGGAGGCGCGACGATGCTTGGCCCACTCGATGCGCTGCTGGATGACCTCGTTGTCCGGCTCCACGTGCCGGGCGAAGCTCATGTTCTGCAGCGTGTACTCGTGGCCACAGAAGACCTTTGTGTTGTCCGGCAGGGCGGAGAGCTTGGTGCACAGCGCCTCGTACATTTCCTCGGGAGTGCCCTCGAAGAAGCGTCCACATCCGCCCTGGAAAAGGGTGTCCCCGGTGAAGACGGCTCCCTCACCATTTCCCTCGCCCGCCGTGACATGGTAGCAAATGTGCCCGGTGGTGTGACAAGGCGTGGACAAGCACTTGACATTCAGGCTGCCGATGGTGAAGCTATCGTCCTGCTGCACCTTCTGGTTCAGGGCGCCAATGCGGTCATCGCCACCATAGACGTCCAGCTGCTTTTCCCACAGCTTCACCAACTTCTCATTGCCACCAGCATGATCCCAGTGGTGATGTGTGGTCAGAACCTTGCTGAGGGTCAGCTGATCCTCCTGTACCGTCTTGATGACCAGTTCGGGGTCCACGGGATCCACCACGGCAGCCTCACGTGTCTTTGCGTCCACGATCAAATACATATAGTTGTCCTGCAGGGCCGGCAGGATCTTGATCTCCATGCCCTCCAGTTTCACGGCCTCCGTAGTGCTATGCATGCCTCTCAAGCCAACTTTTCGCAGTTTTTGCACTGAAATGAGATAAAGGGTTTGACATTGAGTTTGACACAAAAAACAGGGAGCAGGGCAAACAGGCAATAAATGGAAATGCAGGACAAGAGATTAGATTAAGCACATATATACACAGATAGATTACGGTTGACGAGACTTGGACAGACGGGCACAGCCAGAAATCGTCTTCGAATTGCTCCAAAACCAGGGGAATCCGCCAGCCGCAGACACAATCGCAGATTGCTGGACGAACCTCGGAAGTAGGTGGCGGTCAACTGGGTCTCCACTGTGGTGGCCACGCTACGCCAGGCGGAGGCAAACATTGCTGATGATTCTTTTTTCTAGATTTGGCTAAAAGCGTGTGTGTGTTATATGAATTAATTATGGCAAACTAATTACAGTTGTTTTTTTTATCCAATTGCTCCGGATAAGCGAGAGTGACCGTTTGCAGGGCGGCTAATAATCGCATTGACGAAATGTGCTAAAATACAAAATGATATACCATAAATATACCAAATTGAATAGCTGGGACTAGACCCATGGCTCGAAAGCCAGGATAGGATACTAGCGCGGACTCAACCCATCGGAAATCCGTTAATTTTAAAACCGATAAATTGGTGATAAAAACAAATGGAATTTTAATATTATTTTATTTTATTCCTTTGTCAAGGGGTAACTCTAAGTTATACACCGGAACGATGCCATTATTGAAGTTAAAATAATAGAAGTATACATTTAAATATACATTCCTAGATCAAAAAAACCCATTCCTTGTTTGCAATATCCCTTGTTGAATTAAACTTGTATTATTTTAGATCGAGCGAATTAAATCCTGGTTGAATAGAAGCATTAATTAGAATCCGTTTGTAAGCCTTTAATAGTAGCCGAACCCTTAGAGCCTTAAAAATAATGTATAACTAATGGCAACCTAGTAAGCACCCTAAAAAGATGTCAAATAGGTTTGAACTTGTATTACAGTAGTTGCAGACATAAAATTACAGTCCAATGTCCGAGTCAACCGATCCGCACTGCTCCACCTCGAAGTCCAACCTGATCAAAGTGAATCATGTGGGTGTGACTGCGAAGATGCAGTCGCCATTGAAGAAGCTGCTGCCCCGGATGAGTTCCTCCAGCGATTCGGATATGTACCAGAACAGCCAGACCCAATACAACATGTTCAAGGACGTGGGCCGTGGAGAGATGACCGAGTCCACGGTGTCCGGTAGCTCCCCACACACTCTCTACCAGATGCACGCCGAACCGGGTAAAAGTCTACTGAATCATTCGAAGAGCAAGCCCCAAAGGATCGAGTTCCAGCGTTACTCAAAGAAGCGGCCACATGTGATCGTTCCCACAAGAGCGGCTCACAAGGGGAAGAGTCGTTCGAAGTCCCACAAAGCCTCGCAAGCGCAGAAGCCAAAGATGGGATTCCTGGCCCGTTTGTTCGAATCGCTGGACCAGATGTGCCAGTGCCACTCCCAAGGGCAAAAGTCCATCATCGACGATCTGCCGGAGCCGCAGTGGAATCGCAAGGAGGCCAGCCGGCACACCTGCATCGGCATCTATCCCTTTGAGCATGGATGCGCCGACTATCTGAGCACCACGGATACGCATCCGAAGATCAACTCAATTGTCCTGGCGGATCGAGCCACCACCTATGCCACCCATTTCTGGGCGGAACTGTTCGGACTGCTCCACATCGCCGTGGCCTTCGTGGTGGCCTTCATCCTGCAGAGCTACCGCTTTGTTCTGTACTCCCTAATCAACACCCTCATCGTCGGACTGCTCCACATGACCTCGGATTACATGTTGAAGCCCTTCCTGACCATGCTATTCAATGGTTACCTCCAGCCGCCTTTGATTTTCCTCTTCAACATCCTGTGTTCTGTGAGGGACATCCTGGAGCCGGTGGCCAGTACCCTGAACAACTTTATGAAGCCACTGGCCACCGTGGGAAATAGTTTTCGGCTGGTGGATGTCAACTACCGACAGATCCATAAACTGGCCAAAGAGGTTTGAGTTTGTTTTTCTTAGTTTGTTAAATTGTTACTGTTATGTTTTCGTTGTTTCTGAGTTTTATTAAAAAAAAATTAATTAATGATTTTAGTCCGTTTTTCTCCCTAATTTAAAAAATATCTTTTATACAATTTTTAAAATGCATATATCATCTTCTCTTAATTGTATTTAAGAACAAAGTGGACTTTTTCCCCTAGTAACTAGTGGAATTCCCTTAATAAGTTTCCTAAAGAAGTTCGTTTAATTTTCATTGTATTTTAAAACTTGATGTTCTGTTCCACTCGTTCCTCTTGAGGGCGGAGCTATTACAACCCCTAAAATTTCAACAAGTTCTTCCATCGACTTCCCCAACTCTTCAGCACTCCACACACAATATTACGCACATTTCAAAAAACAGATCGGATTACATTGTTTTTCTTGTTTCACAGAAGTGTAGTCATGGTGACACACCCCCCACCCCTCGGAAAAATTAAGGGTGAGTGCGGGGCTCAATTACGTTGAATGCAACATTTATGATTTATTTGCTCATTTTGCGGCAAGGGAAAGCATATGTCCGAAATAAAAAAATAAAAACTGCACTAATTGTGTCCCGCGGGAATTTTATTCCTTTGTGGTTAATCCGTTTACAATTTGGGGTACATCATGGCGTTTTTATGGGCACTCAGGTAAAATGTATTTTATAATTTATTTTAGAACTTTCAAGAAACTTACGAATATGCAAATATAAACATGTGTCACTCTTTTAAATAAAATAAAGTGCTTTTCTCGTTTCTCGTTTTTTATTAAATCTTAAAAAATTAAATTAAACGTTTTTTTTTTAATTTTGTAATGTTATTATACCCTTGCAGAGGGTATTATAATTTTGGTCAAAAGTGTGCAACGCAGTGAAGGAGGCATCTCCGACCCTATAAAGTATATATATTCTTGATCAGGATCACCTCCTGAGTTGATATAGCCATGTCCGTCTGTCCGTCTGTCCGTCTGTCCGTCTGTCTGTCCGTCTGTCCGTCTGTCTGTTTCTACGCAAACTAGTCTCTCAGTTTTAAAGCTATCGAGTTGAAACTTTGCACACAGCCTTCTTTCCTTTGCACGCAGTATATAAGTCGGAACGGCCGGGATCGGTCGACTATATCCTATAGCTGCCATATAACTGATTGATCGGAAATGCCATAACTTTCGTGTTTATAAAGTTAGGAAGTTGGGATTTTCTATGGGCTTTATATTTGGCCAGTCAATCCAACCTACCAAATTTCATAAGGATCGGCCGACTATATCCTATAGCTGCCATATAACTGATTGATCGGAAATGCCATAACTTTGGTGTTTGTAAAGTTAGAAAGTTGGGATTTTCTATGGGTTTTATATTTGGCCAATCAATCCGACCTACCAAATTTCATAAGGATCGGCCGACTATATCCTATAGCTGCCATA